TACAGGGTGATGAAGATAGTAAAGACTAAGTTTATCCACATGATGCACAGTTTTTTTTACAGATATAATATGCATAACTATCTAGATAGATCTTGGCGACTTTTCTTTTATAGTTATAGTTATAGTTCACCTAATGTATGTTTTTCATAAATAAAACAAGACTTTCGTATTCGTATATATGTTTCCTATAGCCGGCCAAACGACTGGACCAAATGGGCTGACATTTTTTAAGGGAGCCCAGGGTTATCCCGCGGGTAACAAAGGCTAAGAGTAAAAAATTTTTTTTTACCATTTTAAATTTTTTTTTAGAATTTCTTAAGAACATTTTTTTTGTTAAATTAGATATTTTTTATTCCACGGGCAACGCAACCCACAACCAAAACCAGATTTTGTTTTACTTCACTAAAATTATATAAAAATTACAAAACTGTAAAAAAAGTAATTATATAGTTATAAACTTTAATATTTTGGCACAATCTTACTTCTACAACACTTAATTCTTTTCTCTTTTTAGTAAAATTCTGCATGCATAATGCATATGTAATTAATATACACAATACATTGCAACTGATAATAAATAGTTAAAAAACAATTAAAAGAAGTTGAAATCATGTTGAAATATACTATTGCAACATAATGTCAACATTAGGGCGGCCCTGTAAAAATTGTTCAGAGGTGCACTTTTTCTTTTGAATAGATATATATGAAACTAAGAAAAATCCAAAATATTTTTTATTTTTGACCATTTTTTCCGGTGCCGTCGGAAAAAACGTGGTTTTTTGGCCATTTTTGAACTTTATTGATTTTATTTCTTAAAACTTTTATAAAATCCAAAGTTTTTGACTGAGAATAATGTTTTATATCATTTTAGAAATCCCAGATAATGGTCTAAAAGATAAAACCAAGTTATACTGATTATTTTGAAAACTTATAGTTTTATAAGCAGTTTCAGCCCCAAAATCGTCGATTTTATTGATGCGCACTTACAGCTCACTAACATACCCTGAGAACAGAACAAAAAAAAATAATTTTTATTTTCATTTTCTATATTTTATACTTATTGTAAAATGTCATTACTTTTTGAAATACCTTCAAAAATGGCCGATTAATGAACAGTTCAAAAAACTCCGTTTTATTGAGTTTTTGAAAATTGTAACTCTCTTATAATTTAAAGACGTGTTTGGTCATTTTGAACTTGGTCTTTTAAAATGTTCATAAAATGCATAGTTTTTGACTTGGAATCTTGTTTAATATCATTTTGGAAACCCCAGATACTAGTTTATAAGACATAATATTAAAATTTGTTTTAAAAATTGTTGAAAACTATTTTATTTTCATGTAAGTTTAGTCGAAAAATAATCTGGTTTTTTATATATACACTAACCTTGTATCGCTGACAAATATTACAACATTTTTTTAGTTTTTCACTTTCTATTTGATATATTCTATGCTTAATGGTTTAAACAACTTAAGAAATCCATAAACATTTTGAATTGATATGTTATTGAAGAAAATTGATTTTCCCCCAATTCAATGACATGTATTGAAATCCTTGTAAAATCGTCAATTTTTAACTTCTGCAGGTCAAGGTTGGACGCAATTTAATATCAATAGAACAAAAAATTATTTTGCATTTTTTTCATCTCATAGCATTGCACGTTTTTCTCAATTGTCATGGAAAAATATATCATTATTGAAAATATTTTTGTTCACAACAATCAAAAGAGATCCTCTGAAACACAATAAAAAAGACAAAATTTGGATTTGAAACTGTCGTTTACTACATTTCTGTGAACTTGCAACAAGAAACCTCCTGAGCAGCTTAATATGGTGAAAAATCAGGGCCATTCTCAAGAAAAGGACTGATTGAAGAACTGAAATGAAAATAAAAATTAATTTTTTTTTGTTCTGTTCTCAGGGTATGTTAGTGAGCTGTAAGTGCGCATCAATAAAATCGATGATTTTGGGGCTGAAACTGCTTATAAAACTATGATTTTTCAAAATATTCAGTATAGCTTGGTTTTATCTTTTAGACCATTATCTGGGATTTCCAAAATGATAAAAAACATTATTCTCAGTCAAAAACTTTGGATTTTATAAAAGTTTTAAGAAATAAAATCAATAAAGTTCAAAAATGGCCAAAAAACACGTTTTTTTCCGACGGCACCGTAAAAAATGGTCAAAAATAAAAATATTTTGGATTTTTCTTAGTTTCATATATATCTATTCAAAAGAAAAAGTGCACCTCTGAACAATTATTACAGGGCCGCCCTAGTTTCCCGGTGTGACATTTAGAGCCAAAGTAATAGCTTGTTTAATAGCTATGCTTGTGTCCCTGTGTGGCATTTAATACAATTCTGGGACATGTTGAAATCCACGACACCCCCCCGCACACGGCCCCTCACTACAGTTCTATATAAATGTCGGTTCATCTAAGAGAATCGTAGTATTTCATCATGCTGTCTGCGTATATGTAACTATTTCAACACACTGAAACTCCGCAGTACTTTTTCAATAGGCGGCGATATCATACAGATTTAAAGTGACGATTTTGAGGTGAGATTTACGCACTAACTTAATTATATTATGTATCGTTTCCATCTCTATTTTTCACCCATTGAAGCTAGCTTACAATAGTATTAAGAGGAAGTGTTCAAAGAAAGTTACATAAATAATTTATTATCACTTGTTATATTGAAGTGTATATATGATTGAATAGTTTACATAGTTTAAAAATCTTTCAATATTTTTTCAAAAAAGGGGGTTTTAAGGGGTCGAGCACAACTTTTTTTTGGCGCGCTTACGCACGCAAAAAGTACCCCCTGCACAATTGCTCTCGTACGCCCCTGTATGTATACATATTCATACAAATTGGATTCCTTGAATTATTATTTTAATTTTGCATCCTAAACTCAACTGTATAAGTCGTCTTTCTAAAGCTTATATATGACGCAATTGTTAGTAATGTTTTTGTTTTGAAAATAATTTCGTCATGGTTTAGCGGCGGAAGTAAACGTTTAAATAGTTCGAATGTTGGTTAGTATAAACTGAAACAGTAACTGAACAATGTTTCACTAAGCAGGTTCATGGTGTCCGAAATAACATGAAAATCTAGTGTTTGACTCCATTTAATTATATTTGATTTATTTAAAAAGTTTGTCATGAACATTACATATTTTATCTGTAATTACATAAGGTGAAACAAAAGCTTACATTTTAAAAATGTTAGCCTGCTTTTTTAAATCTTCAAAATGCACATTTGGGTATATTTATTCACATTCGTCTAGATGATTCAATGAGGTTTTTGTAAATGCCCTCAATAAAAATTTTAATTTTATTCAATTTCAGATCTACTAACCTGTATTGGAAGCTTCTAAGTCTACTGCAAGATTATGAATCGACGAGAAAATGTTCCCAAACAAAAGATTCCTAAACATTTAAGAAAACGTTACTCCTTAGTTCCATCATCTTCTCTACACTCGTCCTTTGTTCAAATTCATCAGAATACTTCTGGAATTTGTTTAGTTGATATTCTTAAATTTGTAAAGCAGTTGATTTTGGATGGAAGGCATTATGATGAGCGCAATCCTTCTATAATCTTGTGTTATCGTTCTCAACAATTGGAAAACATATTTGGAATGAAAGCTTTGCATGTAAGCCAGGTTCAAAGTGCCCTAGCAAAATCATTAGTTGCTCTGAACACTCCTGAGAATAGTTCAGGATCAGATTCAGGATCAGAACCTGAAGAAGCTGAAGCAGAAGTAACAACATCTAAGAAATCCGCAACTCCAAAAGCTGACCCAAATACTAAGTACAGACTATCCGAAAGTCTGAAACAACTATTTGTTTCTGCTGCTATTCTTGTTCACTCTCAGGAGCTGTTTACATATTCAGAAGCAGCAGGGCTGCTCTCTAAATACATTATATCCAAGAAAGATCACATTTTTGATTCTCGAAACATTATGGTGGCTCTAGTCGGCCAGGATCGTCTAGGAGAAGTGTTTGATGTTACTGCGTTCCATCGAAGCCAGGCATCCATGTTCTTAAAAAAACACTTGTTCCCTGAGATAGAAAATCCGCAAGAACTTCCAAAAAGTGCTGAAGATAAATCTACGGCTACAGTTGGGACCCAGACAATGCAGGAAATTAAAGAAGAACCTTCAATGTTTAAGAGACAACCATGTGCAGAACTTGTGAATGTGCAAATGCCGCTGAATGAGACCAAAACATCGAAAAGATGCGCAGACTGGACTGAGAGGGTGCTTCCGCCAAAGAAAAGGACGATGGAATTGAGAGGGTAAAAGCTATCATCAGAAAACTAGAAAGCCCAAATGTATCAACTTCGAACAGAAAAACTCTAGAAATTAATTTTGTCTTTTTTTATTTATTTTATTTGGTTTGGAATGCACTTTTAGATATTTATTCCAACTCGATGCCATCCGTGCAAAACAATAAATGGCCAATGAATAATTGTTAGTTTCATCTAATTTGTTTTGTGATATTTATAAAACTATTAACTATGAAATATATGAAATTAAATGAAAAATTTATTTACCCTCATTCGTTAATTTGATAATATATGCCTGACAAATATACCAAATATAAGGAAATAGAAACAAAAAATTGAAATATAATCTTTAACTAAATTTTAAGTGGTTCATTTCAAAACAGTGACACAAAAACATTTTCTTTTCTAGACTTGTAAATTTTTTTTGGATTCTGAGAATATTAAATGCACAGAAGATTGTAAGAACGGAAAGTTTTTGAATTCGATTTCCCATGCCAGCTAGGCTAGGAAATCTCAGCTAAATCACAACTAGAGATGGGGTTCGGTTTATGAACGAATGAAAGTTTTGAGAACGAATGAAACTTTTCGTAAACAAGGTGTCGATATAAAAAACTAACGATGAACGAATGAAATGGATCATTCACATAAATTCAATTTTTTCTAAACACTTGTAAAAAACTTAAGTTTTTACTGAACTACCGATTTTTCGAACAAAACTTTTGAAAAAACGATTGTTATTTTTGAAACAAACGATTTTACTGAACGATCGCCCAGTGAGAAAACTAACGAAATATATGGAAAATGAACGATAATTTTGAGGACAAACGATAACAATTATTTTTTGAATGATTGAAAAAAAACAAACGAAATGGACAGCTCATGATCGATAAACGAACAAAATGAAAAAAAACGAACGCACCCATCTCTAGTAAAAGCAAGAAAATGCTTATTGAATCGAACCAACATCATTACATAGTGCATTGCTTCATTTAAATAATCAATATTTATATATTATTAATATAAACATTTTAGAAACATCACGCTAGTACCAGACGCTACCACTTTACAATTGGAGGTTGAAGGGGTGGGGGGGTGTATTAGTCTGAATTTCATATGCTTAATAATCTGTTAAGTATAGACGTTTCTACCTTTCCTGTTAATCCTCATCCTTAGTGTAACCAGCTAGCTGTTAATATATTTTTATTCTCCGTTCGTTATTTCAGCTTAAAACAACTATAGACTTAAATTAGACTTTCCTTCTTTCAAAAGATTTACAAGCCTGATTCACAGCGGTACCATTTACTTTAATCTGATGAAAAACGTAGAAGATATACAGGGTGAGTAAAAAAGTGTGGTTTGCGGCGCCTGGTGCAAAATTGTACCTTTTTTGTGCAACTCTCCATAATTGAGTTTTTTTCAATATTTTTAGAAAATTTGTAATTTTTTTTGGTACTTTAATGGCTCAAAAAAATCCGCGAACCTTTTTTCTCTCAAAATCAAAAGTTAAGAAAAACAAAAATGTGTAAATAAATTGTTTCTATCATCTCAGAAAATTTGCAAAATTATAATAAGAAAATTCGTAATTTTCAGTTCTGGTATAATTTTTACGGAAAAATTGTTTTTCAGTGGTTCTGAAGGTTTCAACTGAACAGGGTATATATAATACTTTAGAATATACTAAGAAGAAAGGAACTAGAGAATTTAAATTACTTTTCCTTGAAAATTAGACCAGAACTAAAAATTGCGAATTTTCTTATTACAATTTTGTATATCGTAAACTTTATAGCTTGACAGGACAACTTTGTCCATTATGGTCTGAAGTAGAAATTCGAAAGTCAAGTCATTTAATATTAAAGCCATAATTGAAAAAATCAGTTTTGAAAGGGCAGACGATGAATATCTACTGAGTGTTGGATCGGACAAAGCTTAAATTTTCTGATCAGTCCCGAAATTCGCAGTTTAGACCCGTTTACGGTCTAATATGATGTGGGACACCATACGAATATGACATGCCTCTTTAATTCATGTAAGGTCACGTGAAATTACGTCGATCAGTCCCTTTAATGCAGTTGATCAGTTTCATTGGAGATTTCCTTTAAAGATATTTTAATTTATTTTACTAATACATTTAAATACATTACAAATGATTATAGAAAGCTATTTAGCTCAGAAAGATACAGATTCATTATTATTATACAATTGATGGTTTTCAAGATTATAAAGTTATCTTAAGGTTAAACTTGCATTTTTAGCAATAGGAGGAAGTTAAAATAAACTGAACAATAAAACTAAATTTTTAAATTCTTATATTTTAAAAACCTGAGGTTGTAACCCTTTGAGATTTCAAACTGGCTATTAGCTCTAGAGGAAATTTACATTTTGAAAAATCCAAGGTCTACGACATTAGGTTGAAGAGAGTTAAGGTTTGCGGCAAGTGTTCAGTTAACTTTTTAATTATTTTGTGGTAACCAATTTTTTTTTCAATCATTAATTAAAACTGTGTTGGGAGCGTAAATCTACTAACAAGATTTTTGCTAATTTGAAAAAAAAATTCTCGATACTTAAAATAATTTATTTAAAAATTAGATTTTTGATATTTAGGTCAAATAAAATTCAAATAAATTCGTAGAATGATTTTTCTTTGGTTGATAATTATTAATCCTTTAATGTAAATTTACATTTTTTATATATATTTGATACTGTTTACTAAAATAAAATTACTCACTATACAAATGCATTCACTTCTACGTTAAAAATTAGTACTTTAATATCTAGAAACATGTTGCTTAATTGCTTAACAAAGTTTGAGGGCGAAAACTTAGCTGAAAAATTATCCCCAAACCCTCTCCAGAAACCATTTATGGGTGAAACTGCTATCGCGGATTTCTTGTAATTTACCCTTTGACAAATATATTTCTTATTTATATTCAAATAAAAGAGTAACAAAAGTGGTTTGAAAAATAATCGATTAAGTTTGCTACCGATATGCCAATATTATATTATACACAATAATTATGAAATTGATACCCCCCCCCCCATCATCTTTTATATACAGTGATTGCATTGCAGTCTCAAAGTTAAATAAATGATTTAAAAAAATAATAATAGACAATAGACATACATCTTGTTATGAATCAATGATTTAAAATAAAGGATTCTAGTTGATATCCACATCCAGTTCAACTGGATATCAGCATTGGATATAAATTGTAAATGTCGAGTGATATTCACTAAAGTAAGTGTCCAATATTTCGAGAATTCTTTATTTCTGTTTCGCAGATTTTTTTATTTAAGATTCAATCCTGATTCTGTTCGAAACGTTTGTATCCGAGTACTAAATTGTATCCTGAGACTGGCATGTATCCTAGACTGGCTAAGTTATGCTTCCGTATCCTAAACCAGAAGGACCTGAATAAAAGAGACATAAGATTTAAAAATTTGTGGGGTGGGGTGGGGTGAGGTGGTGAGTGTATGACACCAGTTCTCGTTAGCTCACTGAAGTTAAGAACACTTGTTCACAGCCAGTAACTGAATTGGTGTCCAGACAGGTAGGGAAAGGGGAAGGAAAAGGGGAAAAAAGGAGAATAAAGGTGAAAAAGGTGAAGAAAACGGGAAAAGAAAAGGAGAAGGAAAAGAGAAAAAAAGAGGGGGAAGAAAAAAGGGTAAGTTTTTTTACCTGGAATTTGAACAGACCTCCGTCCGGAAATAGAACTTCCATCACTCTCAGAGTCACTTCCGCTTGTGAACGCAGTTCCTAAACATTTTTTTTGTATTTTCAAAAGGGTTTTTGGATGTTTTTTCAATTGACTCTTCATTACTAAAGTGACCTGTCTGATTCACAACAGTATCTTGTCTGATCAATGTGTATACATTTTTAAAGCTTTGATACCGACTATTTTCAACTATGGATTCTCCCAAAAGTGACTGTCACGCAATGTACATTTCTGCTGCAGGGAAACAATGTTAAACGTATTAGGATAAAAACGTGTCATTTAAGAACAACGACGTATTCTTCCACATTAATGATCAAATAAAGGTTTTAAGAAACTCCGACCCAAGTCTGCTTAAATGGAGGTTTATACGAATTCACAAGGACAGTTCCTTTAATATTTTTTATATATATATTAAATAAACAATAAAATATGTTTACAAAATGTTAAAAACTATTGAATCAAAAAAGCCTGCTAGACAGAGTAGAGTCCAATTTTCCGACAGACTATTTTCCGACGGAAATTTTAATTACCGGAAAAGATGAACTAAAAAACGGAAATTTTACGACAAAAATTTTTCTGGTGAAAAAGTATCCGGAATTTCCGGCTTTTCGCCGACATTTAGTAGCAAAAAAACTTTTTCGGCGGAAAATTTTCCGAACATTTCTAGCTTCCGCCGGAAATTAAAAAAACGTAAAACATATAGATTTATATCTAATTTTTTTAAATTTTGATAAGCTGAATTCACTATTTAAAAAAGGTTGACAGTATTTGTTTTCAAATATTTTTGGAAGAGTTAAAATATAATTATGTTCTGCAGCCTGCCTCATAGCATAAATACTCTAACGAAACTGAAGAATTAACTGCATGTTTTAGACCTTACAAGTTTAGGGCCACTCTAAGGTTCAGAATTAATATCCAAAGAAAAAAAAAAAACTATTATGTATTATCAAGCTTGTTTTGATCATTTTTCATTTCCATATTGAAAATGCAAATGATTCTTGACTAAAAAGCTACGTATATATGGGTGACCCAATTGTACGGTTTTACGTATTGTACAATTCGTACAAATATATTAAAACTATCAGTATTAAATTAAGAAAGTTTCATTGTTAGATAGATCACAATTCGCTCAAAGTGTATAAAAGTGTATATGCCACAGATCATGGTTAAAAATGGTTTTCTCATCTGGAAAGTTTCCACCGGAAAAACTTATTCAACCGGAAATTCCGCCGTAAAATGGGTTGTTTCCACCACCCTTTTCCGCCGGAAAAAATAAAATTTCCGCCAGAAACGCTAACAGAATTTCCGGTGGATACTCTACTGCTAGAATGGTAAAATAACAAGTTTAGTGATAATGTTTAAAAATGTTGAGACTGTAGTGTAACTAGACTGTAGTGTAACTAGACTGTAGTGTAACTAACATGATTCATGATGCTTTTCCATCCAATAGAGTCTCCGTTAGTTCTTTTGAGGTCTAAGATTTGATTTCCCAAAAATTCCCCTAATTACCGAATGAATCTCTCAATCTCTCCCAGAATGTTTTAAACTGTAGTTCCTCCTCCTCAGCAGTGTTGAAGTCAAAATCTGCCACCTAATTAATCAATTAATAATAACTGAATTAATAATAAAAATATATATATATATATATATCAATCAATTAAGAAATCAGTAAACAATAAATCATTCATTCAATAAATCATTTAATCAATAAATCAATTACTACATAATTCAATAAATCAGTATTTAAAAAGGTTAGGTTAGGTTAGGATTGTCCAAATAACTGTAAGTTCATTTAAATTTCCAAAATCATGATTAAATAAATCAAACTATAAATGAGCCAATCAATCAACCAATGCATCAACCAATCAATAAAAATTTAAAATTATGTTTCAATCAATCAGTCAACTGAAATGTTTACCTCTACGGCCAGATTATGTTTGAGTGAGGTGTAAAACCCAATCCCGGAGATTAGGATGACAATCGCGATAATCGCAGAGATTACAGGAAATATGACTAAAAATAGTAATTTTCATGATAACGTTGAAGAAATGTCTTTTTCTTTAGTTTTTTTTCAAATTACTTCTCTAATAATCATTACTTTTATTACTAATAGTATTTAACGGACAACGAATTAAGCTTTTTAGGTTTGTTTTTGTTTACGCTTTGTTTTACTTTTAATTAATATTTCACCCCCCCCCCCTTTCCAAAATATATGACTTTAACGCCTTACAAGTCCCAAAAGACCCCCGACAAAATCTTAGTCTTGGAATAAACAACTTCCTTGATTTTAATTTCTTACCAATAGACAGCGGAAGCGAACTGGCCACTTCATATATTGTGACTGAAACAACCTAAATAAATAAAAAATATACATATATATTAGGTTTACAGGGCTCTCGTCTTTCGGTTAATATTCTTTGCCTTGGCATTTTGTTGATGATCTCTCTACTACAGTTAATTTTTGAAGGAAAACATGTTAAAATCGCAGATTTTCTGTTTTCATTGGCGGATTTTCGAAATTTCGAAAATAAAAAATATTTATTTTTATTTTGACCAACTTACAAATTTTTCCTGGGCATCATGTGAGTTATGTACATCGATACATCTGTATATAAATTTGGCTTGTCTGTCTGTTTGTTTGTATCCAATAAACGTCAAAACGGCTGAACAAATCGGGCCCAAAGTTTGTGTAGGACCTAGCGTGACCCCAGTGAAGGTTTATGAATGATCAAAATTTTAAATATTTGTGTTTAAAAGTTTTTTTAATATTTGTAAAATTTTGAAATCCGCAAACTTTTTTTTGTTTTTGTTTGATACTGTACAAAGAGATGCTCAGAGATAAAGCCACAATTAAAAGTTGAAATAGAAGATGGGCGCGAAGCGCCCTAAAAGTTTAGTAAATCTATACATTACATTTTTAATATACTGGTTACCAAAGGTCTTTTTAAAGTAGAAATGTGCCCAAATAATAAGTTTAGGGTCAAAACTGTTAAAAAGAATGTTGCATAACTCAGAAAAAAAATCATTGACAAATAATTTTAATGACGAAATAATTTCTTCCGGGAAATCTGACACACTAGAAAAATATTAGGAGATAACAGTTTGACAGTTCATCAAATACGTTCTTAAAGAGACTGTAAACGTAATATCAAGTCATCATTATATAATGCATTTACTAAAAGATTAACAAGGATAACAGTTTGACAGTTCATCAAATACGTTCTTAAAGAGACTGTAAACGTAATATCAAGTCATCATTATATAATGCATTTACTAAAAGATTAACAAGGATAACAGTTTGACAGTTCATCAAATACGTTCTTAAAGAGACTGTAAACGTAATATCAAGTCATTATTATCTAATGCATGGACTAAAAGATTAACAAGGATACACTTTAATCCTTTATTTGATTAATAATGAATGATAAAGCCTGGTGTTTTTATTTGTTAAAAAAAGTTTTTTTCAATTAAGGTTTCTTTTTTAAAAATGACCTAGAAAACCGGATTTAAAGCTTTTAAGGTCGGCACTGTGAATAAGACTTGCAACTATTTTTAAACTTTAAAAATTAAATAACTGAAATTTTTTAACTTATTATTTCAGGTTTAGCGAAATAGAATAAGTTACATGTTTAGGATGAAGAGAAGTAAACAGAGATGACAAACAATTTAAACAAAACTTCTTTTTATTTTGTAAAAACTTTAAACAGTTTTTTGAAAAGATTCTATATCTATTTATACAAAATTTGCGTGTTAGTACAAATGCAATTTTGTATGTGTGATAAGTTTAAAATTTGTATAAGATCATATTTCATAAATGCTGTTGGAAGGAAGCATGGTGAAATACTAAAAGAGTAACACATTTGTTTGAACTCGGTAACTTAATATATGCTGAATCATGAAATATATTTCACTTCAGGGTGAAATATGTTAATATCACCAAATTATGAATCTGCAATGTTGAATATTTTGCTGATACGGCTGGAAAAATAAATGAATTTCGACTTACGGGGTCGAAGTTAATAAAAAAGTGCAGAACATTTAATTTATTACTTTCATATAATTTACTCTCTGATTTTTTGAAAAATTCTTAAACGATGACAATCTGATTATCATTACGATTTACAAACCGTTTTTCTATCGATTTAACATCTAAACCCCGGAATGATTGTAATTTACGAATGTAAATAGCTGAAAAAATTACCTCTAAATAGCTGAAAAAATTACCTCTAAATAGCAGGACAAATTATCTCTAACTTACTAGAAAAATTATCTCTAACTTACTAGAATAATTATCTCTAACTTACTAGAAAAATTACCTCTGAATGTCTGAAAAAACTACTTCTAAATGGCTGGAAAAATTACCTCTAATTAGCTGCAAAATTACGTTTAAATGACAATAAAAATTATCTCTTAAAGGCTGGAAAAATGACCTCTAAATGGCTGGACAAATTACCTCTAAATGGCTGGAAAAATGACCTCTAAATGGCTGAAAAATGACCTCTAAATGGCTAGAAAAATAACCTCTAAATGACTGAAAAATGACCTCTAAATGGCTGGAAAAATTACCACTAAATAGCTGAAAAAATGACCTCTAAACGACTGAAAAAATGACCTCTAAATGGCTGGAAAATGACCTCTAAATAGCTGAAAATTTACCTCTAAATGGCTGTAAAACTTACCTCTAAATGACTGGAAAAACCTTCCTATAAATGGCTGGAAAAAATGACCTCTAAATGGCTGGAAAAACGACCTCTAAATGGCTGGAAAAATGACCTCTAAATGGCTGGAAAAATGACCTCTAAATAAATGGAAATGAAAATGAAAAAAATACCTCTAAATGGCTGTAAAAATTACCTCTAAATGACTGGAAAAACCTACCTCTAAATAGCTAGAAAAATGACCTCTGAATGGCTGGAAAAATTACCTCTAAATAACTGAAAAGATTACCTCTAAATGGCTGGAAAAATGACCTCTGAATGGCTGGAAAAATGACCTCTGAATGGCTGGAAAAATGACCTCTGAACGGCTGGAAAAATGACCTCTAAATGACTGGAAAAACCTACCTCTAAATAGCTAGAAAAATGACCTCTGAACGGCTGGAAAAATGACCTCTAAATAACTGAAAAAATTACCTCTAAATGGCTGGAAACATCGTTGGATACAATGACAAGAAGATTATAAGTGTCGGAAGACTTGAAATACCACATGATCGAGAAATCACACACTTTCCTGATCATTTCGGGGTTATTCAATACATTGTTATTATTATTATTAGCAGACAAGTCATCATTCATAATAGGGGTCGACGCTCCTCGCCACCTATGGTCACAAAGTGGCCTGCATTGTCAAGAAGACTTAACCCATAAAAATTGCAATTGCAATTTCAATAATTTTTAAATTGTAATTTTGGTTTTGTTGAAACCCTTTCCTGTATTGAGGGTCCGAGCATGTCTCGTTTCCTGTAATATTATACCCTTTCGCCTGAAAAAAAAAAAATACTTTTATTATGCCTCCACATTACAAGGGGTATATAATAGACTAGCTGAAGGGCCCGGCGTTGTCCGTGGAAAAAAAAGTTGTAAATAAAAATTTTGAGAAAAAAAATTTCGAATTTTTTAGCTTAGGACACCTCCCGGCCACCCATGAGTGTCAAAAAAAAATCAGCCGTTTCCCCTGTTCGTTGAAAAACCATTTAATCGCAAAATGTGTTTTTTTATTTGGAAAAATAGTTCATGTGAAGAATAAAACAAATGAATCTTTGGGTAAAAAGTCTGATAAAGGAAAAACGCAGGGGTATATATTTTTTTTTAGAAAAGCCACCCCCCCCCCCCTTATTTAAAAGCTTGTGCAGTGTGTTCATATTTTATTTGTATATTAACTGATCTTAAAAGAAAAAAAATAAATTGTTGGCGGAAAATGAGATAAATCCTGCCAGATGATGCCCTGCTTTGTCATACCAAAGGTTTAAACGAGTATATACAAAGTTTATCGACCACGTCTAACTGATCTGTCTTAAATATGGATTTAGGATTTTGTAAATTCCGGCAATTATTGTTATTACTAACGGACAACCTAGAGGCCGAAATGTATCCATGGGCAACACGGACTATGAAACACTATACTATATTATATTATGAGAAAATGTATTCCCCCCCCCCCCCCAGGATCAGCTAAATATATTTACCACTATCTTCCAACAGAAGAGCCAGGGTCCTGTACCATCACAAGCTATCTGTAGGTCAACCTATATCAATCAATTAATCAGTTCAGCAATTACAATCGATAAACTAACTAATAAACCATAAACCTGACAAAATTAATCAACCAATCAATCTACCTATTAATCAATCAGTCTATCAGTTCTATAATTTAACCGAGCAATCAATAATTCAATCATTAAATTAATTTATCAACCAATCATAACCTGAAATAGTTATTAAATTTACTAAGCATCAATATAACAACACAAGGCGTAATCATTAAATCAAATAAATCACAATTATCAAATCAATATATAATTCAGCAACCTGGTCGTTTACTTCTATATATAAATTTGGCTTGTCTGTCTGTTTGTGTGTCTGTCTGTTTGTTTGTATCCAATAATCGTCAAAACGGCTGAACCGATCGGGCCCAAATTTTTTGTGGGACATCACGTGACCACAGGGAAGGTTTATGAATGATCAAAATTTCAAATATTTGTCTCCATCAAAATTCGATCTTAATTAAATTTTTGAAAATTTTTAAAATCCACGAAATTTTTAGTGAAAATCCGTGAATTATTTTTTGTTTTGTTTTACGATGTACACAAAGAGAACATGTTCACAATTAATTTAGAAGAGGCTAGTAAATAATACATAGTTATAAAAATTGATTAAATTGATCAACAGATCGATCGTTGATTACATCAAATTGATTCTCACCAGTTGGCCATGTTTAAGTGTTTTCTGTCCAGCCACTGTGAGATTTTTTATTGGAGCTTTAGAGACAATCTTCTTCTGGAATATTCCCATTTTTACACCTTCACCTCTCTAAACACAGACAATTAGTTCATATCTGAAACTCTTCAAAATTATAATAATTTGAGATCACGGGTAGATTTTTTTGATGAGTTCAAATTACAGGAAAGTATATTTTCACGAATAATCAATAATCTTCCCCCACCCCAGAAGTTTTGTATGTTTGCGCAAAGTATTTTTTAGGGTTTTTTTTTCTCGCTAAATTGGGAAACAAATTAAATTTGTGCGTAAAAATTTTCAAGAAGAATTAAAAACTTGCCTTTTATGTCCCAAGTTTTTGTTTTTATCCCCAAATCATCAAATATCATCCTTACCCTGGGTGATTTTTAAAAAATATACACCCCTGCAGAATTACTGAATGAAACAATAAAAGCTAATTGGAATAACATCCCCCATTTCGAAATCATTATTTTCCCCCAAACTTTCATATTCAATTCCCTATGGAGGTTATTAAGAACAAATAAGATGATAAGATGAATGGATTTTGTAATTTGTAATCGTTATAACGGATGCTATGTTTCTACTACTAATTATTAGGCCATGTTACAAAAATGAATTACTAATTATAAAATCCTGAGCGACATTTCGTTACAAAAAGAGAGAGAGACTACACCAAATATTCCACTATTTATTGTTTTGAAATAAAACCTGATCAAAAACTTTGCGATTGACGGAGGCGAGGGAATGATTTCGGCTGGACGAATTAAAATCGGCGATAACGTTGGTCTCTACTTCGTATTCGCCAGGAGTAGAAAAGTTGTAGCTGAATACACCCTAAACAAAATATTTGTTAGTAATATCTCTTATTTCGGGGGAAATATCATAAAAAAATATCTTTAATTCTCATCATTTGATTTTATTGAGTACCATATGGGGGAAATATCTATACATATAAAGTAGTAATCTCTGATAGTATATATTTGTATGTCTGATCTTACCTCAGGAACCCCGTGACTGATTTGTCTTAAAATTTATTGGAGACTTTACAGAAAATAGCTTCCAGGTAAAGCTGGGTTCTCAAGCAAAGATGTGTATATATACAGCTTGGAGACCCAGCTTTGACAGAAGACCTAACAGGAACACATTCAAAATTTGAGGCAAATCAGTCAAAGGGTTAATGAGTTTTGATTGGACAATGAACATACAAACAAACAAGGGACAATGAGAGATGTTATCTAAAGCCACGGTCAAAACTTTTGGACAATTGCCTAAAGGAGTTACGCGCCCTTGCCGCGTTGAATTACAAGAAAGAGCAAGATTAGTATATATCAAAGGGTAAGGTTAGATTAAGACACTTTCCGGGCCGAGGGCTGCGGCTAAGGGGCCGAGCGTCGCGGCTAGGACAGGTTGGGAGACCGAGCACCGCGGCTAGAACATGCCTCTTACTGTCTTATAATTTAATGCGACAAAAATCAGACATTACTCCAATAGGCTTCTGTCTGGTTTTTGCTTCAAACTAAATAAACAAGTAAGTAATCGATACCTTATTTGTCTGTCCGTAGAGTACGGTATCGATAAACCAAAAGTATTTGATTTGCGATGCTTTCTCCAGAAAATTTGAAGGATCATGAAAATCAATCACGATCTCTGTGTTGCTCAAACTAGGATGAAAAAAGGTTTTCTTTTTAGGGTGAACATTTTATAAGAAACAACAAGCAGTGAGAACAAGAAAACAGTTTTTTCAAATAGAACAAAGAATTTTATTATTTTCAATTGTTGCAAGTATGGGCCTCAAAAATGAAAAAGTTCTTTGCGACATTTAAAAATAAGAAAAATTAAACCAACAAGAATTTTACTGTTTTCTGTTCCTTTTTATTATTAAAGATTTTTCATGGGGGAGGTAAGAATGAGGACTTAATTCCATTGCTCTTTTTTAAAATTGTCAAATTAAATATTTTTGAAAGTAGAGAAACGACAAAGTATTTCACTTTATTTTTCAAATACTTGCTATGAGGGTACTATTGTCCTTTGTCAAATAAAAGGTCACTTGAAAGTACAAAGCCAGTTTCTTTAATAAACCTGTTAATAACACTGTTCCCATCCATAGACTCTGACTGCTGTCCGTTCTGTTTGACAAGAAGACGACCTGATAACGACCGCGTCACTCTAAACAAAGACGACCTGATAACGACCGCGTCACTTAAAGCAAAGACGACCTGATAAAGGCCTCGTCACTATAAAAAAGCAAAGTAATCCTAGAGCCCTCAAGTTCTTGATACTTTATTTTACAATCTATTTTCATAATAAAATAAAGCTTTTGGCTCATATATACTTATATGTTAGCTATTGCTGGCCAAAGGGCTGGACCGAATAGGCTGAAATTTGTTTAGGAAACCCATGAGTGCCCAAAAATCTTCAAAAATCAATTTAAAAAAACCAAATAAAAAAAATAACATAGGCGGTCGGGTAATTTAGCTAGTCTCAAGGTTATAATGCAAGGAAAATTATTTCAGAGGTGTGTGCATCTTTTTGGACTGCAATTTACAGTCTCTGAGCGGTAATGTAAACACAAGACGGGATCCATCTTTCACATAAATCAATGAAATATTCAGGTCATAGGTAACTGTTATGTGAAATATCAAAATTTTCAAAATTCAATGCTTTTATCCTCCTCGGATACTAAAGAACACTGATGCATCTATTCTTGTTTACAAATTCCACCCAGAGAGAACTGGTTTCAATGTGTTCGCAAAGTATACGCAACTGCAATTAACTTTCCTTGCATTATAATTAAAAAGGGGGTCCGTGTAAGAACAACAATTTTAGGGGGGAAAACCCCTTTGAAAAGTCCATAGTTACATTCTAATATATTAACATCACGAGTTTACCAAATGCAATTAAAAGGTCCACATATGTCGAGTTCATTTTGGTCAAATTGCGAATTTTGTGCGAAAAAAATGGCTAACATGTGTTCCTTATTGCCCCGAGATAGGAATTTTATTAAAGTTTTATTTACTTTAGGTGAATTATGAAAAAGTTAAATAATCTCTCTAACTTTGGTAACACTGTTAAAATAAATGTAACGTAATGCCATGCTCTCCCGCAGTTTAGAACCAAAAAAAAATGTTTGTTTTTTTTAAAATGATAATTAAAAGAATTAACTTACTCAAAATGCACGTTGGCGATTGCTTCTGTCTCCCAGTAGAAAATATTGAATTTAAACAAAACCAGTTTCATGGTAGACTTCATCTGATCGTACTGCAATAACAAAATAAAATAAAAATAAAAATCATAAAAATTTAAACATAGTACAATGATATAAGTAATGATAATACTGATAATATTAACAACAATAACAAATCAAAGAGATAATATTGATAATATTTATAATAATAAAAAATATCCATATATCCATATCCATATCAATATCAGAATGTTACAATTTTTATTTGCAATATCAATATCAATATCAACAACAACAATAACAATCTGTGATAACATTCTACTACAGTAAACAAGAATGGGTTTACACCCTTTGCTAATTGGTAGATGTCAAAGTCTGCTACAGTCAACAAAAATGGGTTCACACTCTTTGCTAATGGTAGATGTCAAAGTCTGCTACAGTCAACAAGAATGGGTTCACACACTTTGCTAATGGTGGATGTCAAAGTCTACTACAACTAACGAGTATGGGTTTACACCCTTTGCTAATGGTAGATGTCAAAGTCTACTACAGTCAACGAGTATGGGTTCACACCCTTTGCTAATGGTTATGTCAAAGTCTACTACAGTCAACGAGTGTGGGTTCACACCCTTTGCTAATGATGAATGTCAAAGTCTTCTAAAGTCAACGAGCATGGGTTCACACCCTTTGCAAATGGTAGATGTCAAGTCTACTACAGTCAACGAGAATACATTTCTACTTTTGCTGAATCAATATGTATTTATAAGTTCAATGAATGCATTCCTAAAATTGTTTTGATTATTTAAGTGCTGACTAATTATCTACTGTAAATGCACAATGAATGTATATTCAGTTGAGATTTCAATATGTATACTTTGTTTCAACAAAAACTATCAAACAAAATTATCAAACATTTTATTTTGAATTGGCTCATAAAAAAGTTTCTTTTGTGTTTTATTTTAAGCTGAACCATCATACATTATTATATTGTATTTTGTGTTTGAAAATAAATACTATAACTATAACTATTTACTCCATCACTATAGAAGATATAGAACTCCGAAATGGTAAGTAAAAGAGGGAGGGGGGGGGAGGGGCAAGTTCCCAATGTCCCCTTCTACCAACCTGATCTGTCGGATAGGTAACTGTAAAGTTCCGAATGGTTTCTGTTCCCTTATGATCAGATGTGTTGGTGTGCCCCGGACTGGTATCATCTGTCCACTTCCATCTGTATAATTCATCTGGGTCCGCTCCACTTAATCTAAACAAGAGATTTATCTGTAAAATTCATCTGGGTCCACTACACTCAATCTTCACAGGAGATTTAACTGTAAAATTCATCTGGGTCCGCTCAACTTCATCTAAACAAGAGATTTATCTGTAAAATGCATCTGGGTCCACTCCACTCAATCTAAACAAGAGATTTATCTGTATAATTCATCTGGGTCAGCTCCACTCAATTTAAACAAGAGATTTATCTGTAAAATTCATCTGGGTCCGCTACACTCAAACTAAACAGAAGATTTATCTGTATAATTCATCTGGGTCCGATCCACTCAAACTAAACAGGAGATTTATCTGTATAATTCATCTGGGTCCGCTCCACTCAATCTACACAGGAGATTTATTTGTATAATTCATCTGGGTCCGCTACACTCAATCTACACCGGAGATTTAACTGTATAATTCATCTGGGTCCGCTAAACTCAATCTAAACAAGAGATTTATTTGTATAATTCATCTGGGTCCGCTCCACTCACTTTAAACAAGAGATTTATCTGTAAAATTCATCTGGGTCCGCGCAACTCAATCAAAACAGGGAAAAATCGTAGTGAGCTTGTCTGTTGGCTGATTCGTTACTTTGCATGCTGTAGCAAAAATCGTCAAACTGGCCGAACCGATCGGACCTCATGTGGTTTATGGATTATGGACTTTGCTTCACTCCAATTTCGAAATATTTTAGAGGGGAAATCCACCAATTAAAACTGAAAAATATGTAAAATAAAAATATATCTATCTATGTAATTATCTATATAACCTGCAAGTTGTATTTGAAGTACGCAAAAAGCTTCTTGAATGCGTAGAATTACTGCACAGTGTAGTACAATACATATGAGAAATAGAATAAGAAAAGAAATCTGTATAAACCCCTGAGTGGTATCCGTGTGATAATGATACTTACACTCCTGTGAAGGTTATAGGAGCGTCAAGAACAACGGGGGAGTCAGAAAACAGTTGAAGCTCCAATCCTTAATATTTTAAAAATTAAAAAAAAGAAAATTTAAACAACACAAATCTGAACTTCCTTTTCTCCTCAAGAACACCTTATGGAACTCATGGAAAACATTTGTAAATTCACTTTTTTCTTTGACAATTCTTTTACTCCATCCAATTTTTTTACAAATGTTTTTGAAGGTTTCTGAGAAAATAAATGATTTGAACCCCCCCTCATTAGTCCTTATGTGGTATGTAAGCGTAACTTCATGTGACCCTGGAGAGATGGTAATGCCGATTCACCCCGATATCCTTTAAACCTTTATCTGATTTATAATGTCGAACAAAACCGCCGTTTTAGGTTTAAAAGCGTTTAATTCTAATAATTTCTATTGTTTTCCTGCAGTGCAAATGTAGAGATCCACAAAAGAAAATTATCAGTTTTCAAAAATTTTAACATTGATATCTTTTCACTCTTTATTAGGAAAAGCCTTTAAGGGTACTTAAAACGCCATATATATATCAAGGTTGTAATGCAAGGAAAGTTAATTGCTGTCGTGTATACTCTGCGTACATATTGAAACCAGTTCTCTCTGGGCGGAATTTGTAAACAAGAATAGATATGCATCAGTGTTCGTTTAGTATCCGAGGAGGTTTAAAGCATTAAATTTTGACAATTTACATAATAGTTTCCTATGACCAGAATATTTCATTGATTTTATTATGTGAAAGATGGATCCCATGTAATGCTGTGAGCCTGTGACATCCGTCTTGTGTTTACATTACCGCCCAGAGACAGTACACTGCAGTACAAAAGATGCGTACACCTCTAAATAAATTTTCTAACATTATAACCTTGCATGGAATTTCGCTTTCAGTCAATGAGATATAACCCGTCCCCCCCCCCACCTCTAAATATAGCCCTGACACTACCTGTGGATAATCCCAAAAAGGAGAGAAGAACTATATTCATCAACATCTTTATCCTTCAACAAGGAAACAGAATGATAAGAAACAATTTCTACCAAAAAAAAATATTTTAGGGAGAAAACTATTATTAGGTGGATAATATACTTACAGGGGTGTACATTGTATATTTTACTGATAACTATCCCCCCCCCCCCGGCCCTCTTGTAAAAATATGTTTTTCCCTGAAGAATGTTTGCGCAGAGCGGAAATTAATTTTTAATGAGTTTATTGGGAAAAATTAATAAATTTTTAGGTAAGTATAAAAAAAAACTTGCCTTTTAAGCGCTATATTTCATTCCCCCCCTCCCCTTCAAAAATCATTTCCCCGTTAATTCTTAAAAATATAATTCATTGTATATTTATCAAATACTTATTTTAGTTTTCTGTTTGTCGAAGCGTACCAAAATATGCTGACAAATTTTGAATGAACGAAATGAGTTAAATCTCTCCTTGCGTGAAGATTTAAAGATTTCGTTCATTTAAAGTTTTTTTATCATTTAACATTCCTTCCTTTTTCTTCCAGCAATCTATATATCCCATAACAACACAGTTTCGAGGAGCATTTTAAAAATCTGAAAAAATTAGAAATCGATATTTTTATGGATCTTGACGTCCTTACTGTCCCTGCTAGCGGTCTCGGTGAGGTCAGGGGGCAGGTAGAACTTCTCGATCTGGAACTTGTTCCGTCGGGACTTGAAGACTAGCTCATTGTCCTCCTGCAAAATCAATCAATCAATCAACACATCATTAAGTCTCGATCTATCACTCGTTTTATCGACCCTTAAAAACAGGTTTATTGTCCTTCTGCAAATTCAATTTAACTAATAAATCAACCAATCAATAAATCGATCAATCAAAAATTCATAACTCTCGACTTTTAACTTGGTTTTTTAAAGCCTTAAAATCAATCAATCAATCATTCCAAAAATCATAAATTCACGATGTGGAACTTACTGTGTAGACCGTAGAGCCGAAATATAATTTTAGTTAGTTTATCATTGAAACATTTAATAATAATCAAAGAGAATCTCTTTTCCAGAATTTAGGAGCAGATGAATCAATGAATTAATGGATAAATTAATTAATGAATCAATGAATCAAAGAAACAATGAATTAATCAATGAATCAATTAATCAAAGAATCAAATAAACAGTGTATCAATGAAACAAAGAAACAATGAATTGATCAATGAATCAATTAATCAATGAATTATTTAATCAAAGAATCAAATAAACAGTGGATCAATGAATCAAAGAAAGAATGAATTGATTAATGAATCAATTAATCAAAGGATCAAAGAAACAGTGCATCAATGAATTAAAGAAACAATGAATTGATCAATGAATCAATGAATCAACCAACAAACCAATCAACAATTAATCAAAGTTGATAGTAAGAATAAAATATGAAGATTTAGATATAACATGAATACATGAAACTTGATAAGATTATGTCAGTAACGTATTTACAGTACATATCCCTGCCAGTAGTTAAACATACCTTGAGTAAGTGAAGTGGAGGTGTGAGAACACCTAGGCTTGCTATTCGTTCTACTGAGAGCAAACCATGGTAGTCCTTAAAATCATAATTTTAATTATTTCCTATTTTGTTTGTCAGGACATAAAATAAAAGGGACTGTTAGCCTAACTTTAAGTGATTCTTCCATGCAATTTTGGTAATATCCGATTAACAATAGTTTCCTTAAAAGCTTTTTCTGATCAAGTATGAATCAGATATCAATATTTATACTTTTAAAAAATTATTTTTTTCAATTGTCGTTTCTGTAATTTGTACAAAGCGACTTGCGCAATTTCTGCTGCAGAAATACAATATGAATTAGCAGAAATAAACACTTTTTAACCTAGAAAAACGACAATATTGACCAAAGAAAGGTTTCAAGGGTACCGGGGTAAATCGGACATGTCACTTAAATTACACTTTCAGTCCTTTTCAACTGAGAGAGATGTACAGGAGACAGGAGGGCGGGGCGTGATGGTAGTTTTGGTATTTCCAACTTTAAATTTTAAAATATATTACAGGCAATAATATTTATGCAACTGGCTTGTGATTGTGTTATCATGCTTGAAAATATGTTTTTGCCGGTCAAAAAAAATTTTTTTTTTAAAACGAACTAAAAATGGGACAAAACAGTTGGATATATAGAGATTTTAATTCAAGATCCATTATACGTTTTTTTTAATGAAAATCAGCAAAATTGAATAAAATCTATGTTTACCTTATAAACTGGATTAGCAGTCTCCTGTGAATCAAAACTATTTAATGCTATCACATAATCAGCACACCCTACAATTCTCGATCTAAATAAGATGTCAGTTAATCCAAAAATTTTAAGGAGTAAAAAAGCAATTTTAATTAAATAATTTTTGCTGAAACGAGATGGTACTATTGTGAACCGGGCTGATAGAAGTTTAAAATGGATGATAACTTGAAAAGATGTTGAAATTCCCCTAAAACTAGTCATTATAAGGTCAACCACCTCCTCCCAGCTCATCTTAAATGTATCTCACTTTTAAATTTTTTTACCTTATATTTTCATCCTCTTGGTACAGTGTATTTGGTATAGTTAGAACACCAACTCCATAACAATTCCTAGAAAACAAATTCAATTTATTAACCATAAGGATAAATAAAAATTTTCCGATTGCATAGTTTCAATAGCTTAGGAACCTAGATTCCATAGGCTTACTAGCTTAGGAACCTAGATTTCATAGATTTACTAGTTTGGGAACCTAGATTCCATAGGCTTACTAGCTTAGGAACCTAGATTCCATAGGAAAAGCTTAGGAACCTAGATTTCATAGATTTACTAGTTTGGGAACCTAGATTTCATAGATTTACTAGCTTAGGAACCTAGATTTCATAGATTTACTAGCTTAGGAACCTAGATTTCATAGATTTACTAGCTTGGGAACCTAGATTTCATAGATTTACTAGCTTGGGAACCTGGATTTCATAGATTTACTAGCTTAGGAACCTATATTTCATAGATTTACTAGCTTGGGAATCTAGATTTCATAGATTTACTAGCTTGGGAACCTAGATTTCATAGATTTTCTAGCTTAGGAACCTAGATTTCATAGATTTACTAGCTTAGGAACCTAGATTTCATAGATTTACTAGCTTGAAGCGTTGTCTAGTAATCTAAATGTTACCTATAAAAGTCGATTAACTCGACTTAGAATTTCACTCACTAGCTAATAACATTCCAGTGGTAGACGGAATTTCAAGCTCAGCTAAATTTTTAGATTGGCATGTCTAATTCACAACGGTACCCTTCAAACCTCTATCTTAGCAACAATGCGGAATATATTTGATATTTTACAGGTACAGTTGTGAATCCGACATGCTTCTCTATAAAAGAAAGCTCTCTTAAGACCCTTTAAGTGTCGAACCATAAAGTACCTGAGAAGTGCTTTCAGTGCCAGAATGAAGTACCTGAGAAGTGCTTTAAGTGCCACCATAAAGTACCTGAGAAGTGCTTTCAGTGCCAGAATAAATGTTTGTATCTGAACAGCAGATTCGCCCCACAGAACGTCTCCGAGAGAGAAAACACCAATTCTAAGAATATTTCTATCCTCCTACCACACAAATATATTCACAGATATTGATCATATTTCTCATAAATCAGTTCTGGGCTTTTCTATTTTAAACCTAAAAAATATTTAGTTGTTTTTCGATCTGGAAATAAAAAATTCTGTCAATTTCCTCATTGTCTGTTTTATATTTACTTCTGCAGAAAAAAACGCAATTTACGTGTTTCAGACTTTACAGACAAAAATAACATCAAGATGAAGAACTAGGCTTTGTTATTTACTTCAATGGTGGAGACTATATATAGTTGAATATATTTCCTGTGTTCCCGGGTTCACCGTGAATCCCCGTGTCTCCACGTGGTCATGTATTTTCTTCAGAAGTCGTACACTCACACTGTCTAAAGATTTGAAATCATAAATTTTGAAAAATCAGGAAAAAAGAAAATTAAACTTTAAAATATTTTAACTAAAAAATTTACTAGTTTAGGTTAAACTTAGATTTTCACCTCAATGACCCGGGCCCCCTGTCTAATGTATATTCCATATTGATTGATTGATTGCCTGAGTAAGAATATCCTTCTGTATTGGGAGAAGAAGATTAAACGAATGATTTGGTTTGATCCCATCATTTCTAACAAAATAAAAAAGTACATATTATAAAAAAACAATCCAAAAGCAACAAAATATGACTGGTCAGTTTTCCCTTAAAATTGCGTCGACAGTAGACTAGTTTATCAGGGGTGTGTATTTTTTAAAATTACCCCCCCCCCCCGGGGAATTGAAGATAAATAGCCAAGTTTTTTCATCCTTTTTTATATTTTAATCCCAACAATTTATTTACTTTCCCCAAAAAATCATTTACTTTCCGAATTTAGCGAACAAAACAATCAAAATAACTAACTTAACTTCTTGGAAAAACAGTGCTTAGGATCCATTTAAATTAAATGCAGATCCGGATGCTGGATCCGCATTGAAAAAAATGGATCCAGATCCAAATCCGGATGCGGATCCAGGTCCTTTCTTTAAGATTTACTGAATTTTTAAAACAAAAAATAATTTTCAAATTTTTTTTATTTTTTTGCTTATTTTTATCCTAAAACTTAATGAACCATTCAGAAATGAGGAATTTTTAAAAATCTCTCTTTTTTCAAAAGTTCATATTTGGGTTTTAGAAGTAAAAAAGTTTTTTTTTAGTTTTTGGTTGATATTTTACCCCTTGGATCCGGATCCAGGAAGCCAAAATCTTGCGGATCCAACGGCTCCGGATCCTAAGCACTGGAAAAAATAATAATTAAAAAAGGGGGTAGTAACCGTTTATTATTAATTATTATTATTATTATTATTATTGTTATTGTTCAAAATGTACACATTAAGGACAATAATACTGATATAATAAAGCATTTCGATTAATTGATTCGATTAGCATATAAGCACTTTACTCGATAAAGCCTACTTGTACCTAATTTGATATTCGCACACACTTTTGGTAATTGGTGTTTTACTCTCAGTAAATAAAAAGAGTCTAGAGATATGTAAAAACTTAAGGGAATAGAAAACAAATTAAGACAATACAAACTCAACTTAATTCGATCAGTTTCGAGACTAGCAAATATATATGGTATAGAAAACCAGGGAAATACAACCGAAAAGAGGACTAAAAAGCACTTAACTTTTAATGGATCCGGACCCAGGTCATAATCATTTCTTTAAGATTTACTGATTTTTTTACAGAACAAATTTTCAAATTATTTTTCTGACTTTTTTCTCACTTAAGTCTTATGCAACAACTTGATGAACCATTCAGAGATAAGGAGATTTTTGATAGTCTCTCTTTTTTTAACAGTTCAGATTTCAGTTGAGGGCAAAATATTTTTATTAGCAGTTTTTTGTTGATACTCTGCCCTTGGATCCAAATCCATGTATCCGCATTTTTTGAGAAGCCAAAATGTTGCTGATCCAACGGATCCGGAAACTTAGCACTGAAAAAAATAATCGCTTAAAGTCCATGATTATTCCGACGAGTTGACTGTAGACCTTGCCTGCTTTATATTATACTGCTTTAACTACCTGATTTTACATTTTATTTCTTTTTACCGTCGTATACCTTTCCATTATTTTGATTTTCCTTCTCCTCCTTCTCTGTGAAGCTCGGAAGATTTTGAACAATAGAAACCGGATCCTGGGTCAAACTTGACGCAAAAATACCATTTTTATGATAAACTCCTTAATAGAAATTTAAATTAAAGGAAATGTTCGCGATAAAAACATTTGACTATGAATTTAGAAAATATTTGAGCAGAGTTTGGAAAATAGAAAACCTTTAGTAAGAAATATTTGAGCAGAGTTTAAAATATAGCAAACCTTCAGTTTTAAAAATATTTGAATCAGAGTTAAGAAAAAAGCAAACCTTCAGCAAAAAGAAATAATTGGAACAGAATTTAGAAAAAAGAAAACCTTCAGCTAAGAAATATTGAGGCAAAGTTAAGAGAATGGGAAACCTTCAGTTAAAAAATATTTGAGTAAGAGTTTTTAAAAATAGCAAACTTTCAGCTAAAAAATATTTGAGTAAGAGTTTAATAAACTAGCAAACCTTCAGCTAAAAAATATTCGAATCATAGTTTTAAAAATAGCAAACTTTCAGCTAAAAAATATTTGAGTAAGAGTTTAATAAACTAGCAAACCTTCAGCTAAGAAATATTTAAATAAGAGTTTAGAAAANCCTCCTAAAATTATTCAATCTATCTATTTCAGTTCAGATTGCGATTTTGCGAATTTTCTGTGATTCTTAAAAAATTACAAATTTTCAAAAATAATGAAAAACGCAAAACAGGAGAGTTGCACAAAAAAGGTACAATTTTGCACCAGACGCCGCAAATCACAATTTTTTTTTTATTCACCCTGTATATACATATTTTTTTTTTTTTGGGGGGGGGGCAGTGAAAAGACAGACACTCTAGCCCAAATTATCTATTTTGACTTGTATATACCCCTTGTCATTAAATCAGAAATTTAAAAAAAGTATAATGTGTTTACGACGCTTTTTTATATGCATTTCAAAAAAGTATTAATGATTCCATAGAAGGAGGCCCCGCAATCGAAGCCAATGCCCGTTAACCATCTAAGAAAATATCGTTTCAGACGCCAGCATGTCTGATTGACAAGGATACACGGTTAACAGTTGTCTTATGAATAATTCGAGTAAAACTATATTGTAGCTGAAAAAGTGTTTATTTCTGACAATGTTCGTTCTGTGTTTACAAAGCAAAAATGCATAAGTAACTTTTGAAAAAACCACAAGTGTAAATAATGTATTTTCGAATAAATTTTTTTTTTGATCTGACCAAGCTTTTAAGTGCACCATTATATGGGGCTAAAATTCATTTGAAACTAGGTCTGCACTCTGCAGTCACTTTATGATAAAACAAATGAGCTATTTACCTATTAGCTGATCCAGATCTGGTACCCCAGTAGACACGAGAAAATGATGGGAATACAGGGAATTATAGCAACCAGGTAATTTAGGAACTCCACTTTTTACCTGAAACAATTTCAAATGACCCTCCATGCAATGATTAAATGCCAGATTTAAAAAGGCACCATTAAAGCCTTTATCTGGTGAAAATGTGAAAGATATTGTCGAAAAAGTATTTATTTCTGTGAGTTTCTCCATTGCTTCTTATAAACAAGGAATGCGCAAGCGGCAAGTCACTCTCACAGAGAAACCGCAAATGAAAATAAACATTTTCAGGAAAAAAAAAGACTCATATCCTGGCAAACGACTTTTGGACCCCCCCCCCCCATATTCCTAGGGGGCTGAGCGCCGCGGCAAGGACAGGCTAGGAGGCTGGGCGCTGAGGCCAAATGACCCATTATGTGGACATATGAGATACATAGACATATGAGATACATAGACATATGAGATTCATAGACATATGAGATACATTAACATATGAGATACATAGACATATGAGATTTATAGACATATGAGATACATAGACATGAGATTCATAGACATATGAGATTTATAGACATATGAGATACATAGACATATGAGATACATAGACATATGAGATTCATAGACATATGAGATACATAAACATATGAGATACATAGACATATGAGATNAGTTAAGACACTTCCAAAAATCGTATACTAGGAAATTACCGAAACTTCCTGTCACACCCATGTACAAAATTGATAGGAGGGGGGGGGGCCTGGGGGGGGGTCCAAAAATCGTATACTAGGAAATTACCGTCCAAAAATCGTTCTCTAGGAAATTACCAATTTTTCAAACTATTAATATATTAAAGAACAAAAATTAATTTATGTGATTATATATGCGAATGTATAGTTTAATACAAACAAGCAAAAATATTTGACAATTTAATAATGGATGATTTTTTTTGTATCATTATCATCTTACCTTTCTTTGAAAACTAGATTTTGCCATTGTTTTAATAGAAATCTGTGTGCCTGACAAAATTCGATAACAAAAGTAAGCGCAGATCCGCGGCATTTTAATATTAATGGACAAAAGTCGTCTTTAAATAAATTTTAATAAAATATATTAATATATTACATCCGCCCAACGTTACATCCGTCCTACGATACTTTGGACCTACCCACACATTCTAAGAAGTAACGTATTATCACATTTTTTGCATATTTTTTTAACAGGTCATATTATTTTGGTAGCCTTTTTTACTTATTTATAGTTCTGAATTATGTATAACATACAGGGTGTCCCAATAACATGGGAATTCAGTGACGAATTCGATATCGTCTTTGTGAATAATTCTTTAATGAGAAAGCTGTAATCTGTATTCTGTAAGAGTTTCTTCGTCTGTTATGATCCCATTTTGTTTGTTTTATGTTTTGACTCCATACTGCAGTTGTGTTGTACTTAGTAAAACAAGAAAATTGCAGTATACAAACAGAGTAAACTTGTCCGGCTTCACTGTTAACATCTTGCGGACACGTTTGATACATCTTTACAGTATTTTATCCTCTAAAAAAATAAACGCTAGCAGACATAATGATATTATGACTTTTGAAATTAGGTACAATACTAATTCATAACAAAGACGATATCAAATTCGAGTCACTGAATTCCCCTGTTTTTTGGGACACCCTGTATTTTGAACAATAATTACATGTTCTAATGTTTACCAAACAAGTAGTCTAATTTTGCGTAATTAAGGCGTAATTACGCGAAATTACGTTGTGCAAAACCATGATCTGTAATAGTAATTAAAGTACATATTAATTCTCAGAAATTAATATTGAAATGCATGAATTGTACTTTTTGTATGATAAAAAATGTCGTCATTACAAGTTTATGTTAATTTCTAGTTTTAAGGGAATCTTCCATTCCAATCAAATAAAGAAAATGAGATATTGATTCTTAAGGGGCACCAAGCACCCTCAATTCTAGGTTCACACTAAAACTGCACAGACACACACTAAACACTCACACAAACAACTTTTCTTTCTATCTCATCCTTACAAAACAAGATAAGAATGAATTAGTGAGAAGTATATTTAGTTTAAGATCTAATGTATAATTGCATGTTAGAATAGATTCCTCTTTACTCCTTCGTCCATTCTTGATTATACTAGATCTATCATTCCTCCTTTCTCCTATCTTTCATTCCTGATCTAATAGTTCTTCGGGATCTTCATGATTCTTCCTTGTAGATATATATCCTTGTTGTCCTTTGTTTATCCTTTTCTATTCAGACTCTTTTCTCGTGTAACTAAATATAAAATGTTATTAGTGTTGTGAACTGTTTATTTTGAGATAACATGTATTTTATTAAGATATTAAGTGAATAGTACTTTTAATTTATGTTTTGAGCCCTCCCTTTTTTATCTCAAAGAACAGAGAAACTATAGGGGTCCAAAAAGGGTTCAAGAAAATACAAAGTCTCATCTAGCAGTTCTAAGTATGACCCGGAGCTAAAGTACGATATCTAGACTCGTACCGGGCTGGATAAAGAGAGAAGGACGAACGGAGCGTTGAAATCTTCAGTCTGACACAACCCATCGAATGAAATCACTCCTATCCTCTTTCATACCTCTCCAAGCCAACAATTAGCCTACCATCCTATTTTAGAAGAACTTAAAACCCCCTAAATCTCAATAAATCTAAATATAAAACGAATCCTCGTTCATTATTTTAACACCACGTTTAAATCCAAGTAAAGTATCATTTTCCCTAAAAAGGTCAGACTCCGTACTAAAGGGATCAAGTCTTTATGGTACAATATATAGCGGCAAAATAAGGATATGCGCGCTACAAATGCATGTACAATCTGATTGGATAATTTAAATATACTTTCAGATTGAAGTTTTGCTAATTAGGTGTAATTATTGCAAAACTTCGCGAAATTACTTTTGTAGAAGTTTCGCTAATTACGTGTAATTATTCAAACTGTAGTGCGAATGAGCGTGTTAGTCCGAATGAACTTAAAGTATGAATGCACATTATTCGGATTAATCATTATTGCAATCGATATTTTACTATTTCGCGTATAAGTAAATAATCTATAACGTTGGTTAAACCTTTTCTGAATCTCACAACTCCTCTAACAAGAATATGCTTAAAGTTTATAGAGAGGAGATTTAAGAATGTTCATTCCAGGTTTTTGAGATGTAAGAATGTTTTTTCTTTAGGTTTCAGAGATTCAGGTTATATTTACTCACTCCAGTTTATATGAGATTCAAGAACACGCTTACTCATGTGGTTAATCCCAGGAAAATTTTAACCGACTTGTGCTGATGGTGAAGATGGCGGATAAATAATTCTGGACTTTATATGGAAATCCTATCTATTCGTAAGAAAATCCATTTAATGTAGGATTTACATTTCTTTGGAAAATAGGGATTCAACAAAAATCCAATTAACGGTGGTCAGGCTTCTAGATAATAATTTGTCGGATGAATTGAAAAAAATGGATAAATTTATAACGATCAATAAAGATGATAATTTAATGATCTAGAATTAACAAGAAACGTAAAAATAATACTGATTAGGATAATGCTTATACTAATAATAATAATAATGATAATAATAATAATGATAATAATTATGATGATAATAATGATGATGATGATAATGATGATAATAATGATGATGATAATGATAATGATGATGATAATGATGATGATAATGATGATAATGATGATAATGATGATAATGATGATAATGATGATAATAATGATAATAATGATGATAATGATAATAATGAAAACAATGATGATAAAAACAATAGCGATATATATATTTTAAAATTTTATTATGTAAAATATCTAAAAACATGGGTTAACCTAGTGCTGAACAACATTTTTTTTTACAATTTTTTTCATAGTTTTTGTATGAAACATTGGTTAAAGAGTTTATATGGAAATGCTGCAAATATATATTTTTAAAGTTTATGCTAATTAATTTGATTTTGGCAACCAGTAAAATCTACAATATTCATACAATGTACACAGGGCTAACAGGATACTACAGTTCACACGTAATAGATATGATATCATAGCTCGAAACTTTTAAATGATACAAAGGAATTAAGTCAGTGCCACTCAACTAAAATTTTCTAATCCGTATATCTTTGCAATCTGATTGTGTAAACCTTTGATTTTTTTATCTAACAGAATGCATATGATTGAAATACTAAAATCTACGACATTGGGTTGCAAAGATTATAGCGATTGGAAAG